TTCTTAATTACCCTAAATGTACACCAGTGCACCTTCTCTAATTTCAGGGTAGCTACCACTGATGCCTAGTGGTGTGAAATCAGTATGAGGTCTCATTTGATATGAGTATGCAGAAGGTCAAATCATCAGATGTTCAAAGTCAGTGTATTTGCTCCTATTTTCATTAACCAAGTATGTGGTTCCCAATGCTTGCCATTTGGCGTGAAAATGCTTTCTGTGTTGTTTTTTTTTTTTTCATCTATTCGGCAGAAATGTTCATACACATAAAATGAATCAGCACCATGGTTCTAGGATCCTATAGGTATAGATCCATGTAGCTAATTGATTTTAATTAGTCTTCTAAAATCTCTCATTCTAATGCAATAGAACCATGCTTTTTTGTGTTCTTTCTTGTGCAATATTTTGTTTTTGAGGGATTTTTCTACAGTGAAAAGAGTTAACAGCAGGTAATGCCATTCATCTCGGAAGGAGTTTGAAATTTTCAGTGTTAGTGATGAATGAGGGTATCTGACCCACATCTGTTTTACATTAGAATGGAACATTGCCCTGACATCGTTAGGAGCATTTGTCAAGATTCCCTGGACAGAGCTTCTGTAAATTACATGCTGCAAATGTGTCAGGGTCAGATAAGAGGATATCATTAACTCCACTAAAGTTTACTCATGATTCTGTCAGTTCAACTTAATACGTTAACTGCCAACAATTTTCCTTGAGCTGTTTCATTAAATCTTTCATTCACAGGAGGAGAAAAAAATGTATCACTGTACCCAAAAATATTGCACATGTTCTTTTCTCATAGATCATATTAATTGCAGGCATGGTCACAAAGCATATTAAACGCAGGCATGCGTAAATGAATTAAAACATATGAGAATTTTATTGTGCCTATGGTAGGTCCTACATCCTAAAATACTAACCACATTAATAGGCATAATGTTTCATTTAAATAGAATAAGCTTTTTCTCAGTTTAATGGCCTTTATTTTGTTAATAATAGAAGTATTTTCTAATAGCTGATAATGGACCAGATGTTGCGTACATGGTCTTTACGGCTTTCATCATTCAATTTCTCCTCTTCTTTCTGGATCATATCCTCAGGTAGTGATGCTGTGCTGACCCCACCAGCAAGGGGTTTGTCCTAATTAATATGTTGGATTGCTCGGGATGTGCTCTCTGAAAACTTTTCTGTGGAGTTTGGTTGTTACAGTTCACTGTGTTCTCTTTGCTTATGCCTAATTGCACCTTTGTTTTCTAATAGAACTATTTTGTCAATTATATATACTGTCTTTTATTGTATAAGCTCAAAGACTATGTGTCAACATTTCTGTGTGTGTGTTTTTAAAAAATGAGAACAAAATATATGTAGCCAGAAAACTTACAGCCCTATTTTTCTGCATTTATAGGAGTTCTTTTCTAAAATGAATTGAGTAGTTACAGCAGCACTTGGTTCTAGGTGTTTGATCAGCCCTTGATTTTTCTTTCAGCTTCTTTGGGATCCAGATCAGTGAGGCTGACAATTAGTACTCTGGCTTTCCCAAAGTAATTCAGAGGGAAGTACGTATTTTCTAGTAATTTGGATGGTATATGGATTGAGTACATTTATTTTCTTCCTTAATTATTGTAAAACAATCAGACCTGTTTGCCTATTTAGAACTATACTGTTTCATACCAGCAGAAGATCTGAGTCACAAAATCCAGATCTTTGTGTGTCTCTTGTACAGCACTAAGCTGAGGGTGCTGAGCATCTTGCAGACGTGGCCCGTTAATGGCTTTCTAATTGATTAGGTGAAAGTCAGCCATGCCCTTCCTGTAACTCCTTGTATGGATGATAAGGTCATGGCACATACCATATGAAAGACTTCTGCCCTGGGGCTACTTCCCTTATAGCTTTCAAACCAGACATGACCAAAAATCTAATTATTTAGATGCTAATCAACTGCAGGATGATCCTGAAGGCCTCTGAAGAAGATATTTCTGAGAAGATGGTTACTGTTCAGACTTCCGTTTTCTCCACCTCAGAGACAGAGTGCTGTGTCAGTTCTGCTCCAAAGTGTTTATTAAGTGCATATGTGCTTAATAAAAATATGCCTATAGACTTGTATTATCTGATTAATTTAAAATTTTTAAAGTAAATATCATCAAATGGTAATTTTAATTTGCCAGACAAGATAAATCTCTATCCAAATATAGATACTACCATAATTTGAGTGGCTTTTGAGGTCATGTCTGGATCCAGGTTTAAATTTCAAAGCTACCCTCTAACTCTAAAATGACTTCCAATCCTAAAGTTTTTGAGTTCACTCTTTTTGCTGGCAAAGTCCAAATAGTGTTGTCTTGGGCTCTATTCTGTTGAAAATACTTAACAGAAAAAAGTTTAGCTAAAGTATGTAGTTGGTAAAGTAGATATTTGCCCAATTCAGCAATTGGTCCTAAAAGTCCAGCTAGAGACAGCTTGTGATGTGAGAGCACTCAGGCAGAGAAGATTGCCATCGGGACTCCAGTGGGGCTGCGAGGGCGACGCAAGCCCAACCCGTTCTCCCTGCTCTTGAACTTGGAACAGAATGTGGTAAAGCCCCATAAATATCCATATCACATAGCTGCTGTGTGGGAATGGAAAGGGCTGTGCACTTATTTCAGCTTTCTGATAAACCATGTGTGTTTTAAACTGTAGTCAAAACCATGATACTTGTGCCAACATAAATATTTTCCACAGTAGTAATTTTCAATGTAAATGTTTAAGCTATGTTTTTTGTGGATCTTTTTTCTTCTTTTAACTCTATTAATGTTAATTTTAAAGGACAAGGATTAATATAACCTAAATGAACATAGGTTCTAATATTGTATCCAGCTGGTGCAATGTCAGATCATTAAGCACACTAGATTTTCAGGACCATATCATTTTCCAAAGGTACAAGAAAAATATTTGTAATTCCTAAAATAGAAATACTTACTAAAATAATCTTTAGAAATTTTAGTACTTTTCAGGAACTAATTTTTAGAAGAAAAAAGTTGAGAGCCCAGTTATTTCAGCTTTTAGGGGTTTTTGGGACAAAATGCTGTGCAGGTTGCTGTGCAAATAGCATGATTTTTCAATCTGTGTGATTCCAGAGATTTTTTAAGTTGTGTTTTATTAACTTCAAATTCTTTTTTGCACAAACAGGTTTTGTGCATTGAAAAGATTATTTGAATTAAATAGAAAATACCTTATACCCTGAATCCAAATTCTTCTTTTGTGTTTTTAACTTAAAAGTTATAAGATTTCAGTATCTAAATGAAGTCATTGGATATAATTTGAAACTTCTTTATGCATGAATACTTCAGTTTGTGAAACATTCAGAAAATACCATCAGTTAAACTCATGTTTTTCTGCTTAGTGAAACAAGTGAACATTCTAGGGCTGTAAGTAGTTATTGAACTTCTTTCTCAGCATTTTTTTTTTTGGTGAGATGTCTTGGGTGCATCTGATGCAGAGATGTTTTGTGTTCTTGATGCAGGTATCGGGGGATCTCTTTTTGAAGTACTCTGCTTGTGCCTTTTGCTCTTTTCCTTATCAGACATGTAAGACCTGCATAGGTCTTCCTTCCTACTTAAATCAGGATCCCTGGGGCTTGTTTCGTTTATTTATTAAAAAACAAAGCTCAGAGCTGGGACCACAAGCTCCCTACAATAGTAATAATAATCCCTTTTCTTTTGCAATGGAAAATAAATACAATTAAAGAAGGAGCATCCAGAGCTTTAGGAACCAGAGATGTTCATATGAGCATAGATTTATTCTTTACAAAACAGACTGCAATTTTAATAATTTCTTTTTAGTTTATGGTAAGAAGTGCAGTAAAGCAAAATGATTATCAAATAGCATATGTCAGATATTTGTAATGCCTTTTTGGAGGAAGAACAACCTGTAAATTATCAGAATACGCAAAGCTGTATGCCATCCATCTGTTATAAGCTGCAGACTGTTTCTCAGGTTTTGAAGTGCAACTTATTCCAGCGGAAGCAAGCAATTCTCTCAGTAGTGCTTATTTTCAAAATGTGCTGTAGAGATGTGCCAGGAAAGGAAATGCACACCAACTTACAGTGTGAGTGATTTTTGTACAATAATAACTTACCACTGCAGGTCCCTTCACTCCTGCTTGAAAGCACAGATACTTTTGAAAATTTTTTTGCCTTTCTACTGGAAATGATGGTCTAGAGGGCTGGGCTTTTATAGGGGCAAGCACATATTTTCCAGTAATCTCTTGTCAACTAATCTTGATTGCTGATTTCATAACTGTTCATGTACAAGCAGCTTATTAAGGGAGTCACGGTCGACTCGAAGCCGGTCTGGAATGCCAGACCACTTCTGTCGTGTCATCTAAATCAGCGGATGAAGTTGGGAGCTGGTGTTGTGACCAGCACTCTTTCACATTCATTTCTTCACAGGCCAGCACACAGGGCTTGCAGCAGCAGGAGTTAGGGCTGCTCTACCCCTTCCCCACGTATTCATGTTGTTCTGGGTGCTGGGATTCTTTGTTACTTCCATCAGTAGTGCTGCTGTGATCCACTCCAAATTAATTTCATTTTAATGACTGCGGATCTCGGAAAAAAAAATTGTGTGAGCTTTTTCACAGCTTTTCTGTGTTTGTAGATCATGCAGGACAGCGTGGCTAAATTGCTGCTACTTGCTTTTTATTCTCTTATCATTAAGTCATCAAGGAATAAACATCTGCAGAGATCCCATCTGGGGCATGGGATCAGGCACTCTAAAACCCTGAAAGTTTTTTAAATGGTTTTTCCTTATTTCCCCTTGGTATCACTTTTGGTTGTTAGCCATCAGTTTTTATTTTGGTGGATGATGCAACCAAATTCCACTTCCTCTTGGGATTAGATACTCAAAGCATAGTTTGAATACCAAGTCTACCTATTTTAGGAAATCAAATGGTAGACTCGAGAACTACTGTGGCTCTGTAAGCAATACAGTTCTTCAAATATTTTAACTCTTTCTATTATTCTACCTTTTAGGTAATGGGACTCTTGACTAACCACGGTGGTGTGCCTCACCAGCCCCAAACTGATTATGCCCTGTCCCCTTTAACTGGGGGCCTGGAGCCCACCACCACTGTCTCAGCCAGCTGCAGCCAGCGGCTAGATCATATGAAGAGTTTAGACAGCCTGCCTACATCCCAGTCCTACTGCCCACCGACCTACAGCACCACAGGTTACAGCATGGACCCTGTCACAGGCTACCAGTACGGACAATACGGACAAAGTGAGTACTGAGACATTTGTGCAATACTGTGCCTGTTTACCAACGGTCTGTAACAAAGAAAATTATGAGCAGAGATCCTAATGGCTGACTACTATTTCTCTCCGAAGCCGAGCAGAGTACACTGGTGAGATAGCTGATTGTTAGAGCAAGATTTCTGCTGCATAATTATTTTCTTAAGTGATGTCAACAACATCTTGATGTTATTAATTGTTGAGACATGAAACCTGATTGCCATTAGGTAAAACATAAGGGTTGTCCAAAATGAAATAACCACTGGCATTCCACTATTAGAAACACATGTTCTTAATGAGGTCAGCTCAAGAATCATTACAGTATATAACCCCAGATACGTAGAGTTTTGTCAAACTTGTCCTAGGAATAAAAATATTAGTGCCTTTCCTTTGATATATAAGTATTAAATATGACAATGTCAACCTGTAGTTGGCATGGCCCCATGCTGTGAGGTTGTCAGAGCATGACTTAAAAAGCTTCTTTTGCTTTTTTGCAGGTGCCTTTCATTATCTGAAGCCAGATATTGCATAAATGAACTGTCCACTTCAAGTTAAAGCTGGTCTTGTTTTCCGGTCTCGCTCCAAGGATTGGATACGAGGGATCTTCTCAACACACTGCAGTCTAAACTGGGGCAGTCCCATTGAGAGAAGCAGGCTTGTTATGTTCTCTCCCGTCATAGCTTTTAGCAGACTTTTGAAGGCTGGACAAAGCTATACAGAAGACAAAGGCCAAAAGCAGTAATGAATAAATAAATGCGACATGGTTCATTAACAGTGGGTATACAAAACAGAGCAGTATTTAATATCACTGCCTGGCAAAACATTCCATTTTTTGTTGTTGAAATTAATGTGCATTGATTGGGACAAATGGAACATTTTGAAATTTAGAGCAGTTGAGCTCTGCGTACTCTGACTCATGTGACATCCAGTGCTGACTTTAGTCTAACTTTAGAACTGCTCACTTTCTGAAGCAAGGGCAGGAGAGCCTCTTTCATTTTACACACTGGAAATTGTCATCAAGAGGAAAAGTCACAGTCCATAGGAGGCTAGGATAAGTGCGAAGGACTTCCCGAGCAACTTATTGGTTACCTTACCATGCTTTTGTAATCATGTTGTCAATAAATGTCATTTACAAGTTTTGCTTTACCAAGAGACGAGATCTTATGTAACATGAAAAACAGATTTTACCTTTTTGTACATGGAGTTTTCCTAGTCCGTTGTACCTTTTCGAACAAACATGGGAGAAAAAAAATCAACAACGCGACTGATTTTTCACGACTGCCTAGCAACGTGCAATACTGTGTACCTCACACAAACTTTGGGATCATCCAAAGTCATATAGATAGAATCAGAACTATATTTTTGCAGGTACTTTTATTTTTGCAGTGCATAATTCCTGATGATAAAATACAGAAATGTTGCAGTCTGCTGGACAACTAAAATCCAGCTTGCTAATCATGATTTAAAGGTCATTTTCAGGAAACAATACGAAGAAATGATTACGTTTACATTTTTTTTTTTAGTGATGTACAGGACATGGAGAGAGTTGGACCTGCATTTGACACATTTGTTTAAATTATACAGTGATATCCAATATAGAAAATATAATTATAGGAACCAAGGTTTACAAGAAGTTTGCATTGTGACATTTTAGAATGTCAATAAATTTGTGTTTTGTGATGTTGAGAGGAAGAGGAAGATGGAAGGCGGTGTTATTTATTTCTCTCTATTCTTGGAACAAAGAGGGAGGCAGAACACAAATACATTCCTTTTAGCATTAAGGACTATGAAGTAGTGAGTTAGACTAGGTGCAGTACAGAGGTTAGTTCACACATTGGTCTTAAGGGTGATGGAAAAATGAAATATTATCTTTGTGTTGCAGCCTCTACAACAACACACATGTTGAAAAACAAAAAAACCCAAACAAAAAAAAACAACAAAAAAGAAAACAAAAAACAAACGTCTTTCATGTAAAAAGTTCAGTAAATATTTACTATTTATAATGAATAAACATTATGAAGACTTGCAAAGCACTGATGATTTTGTCCTAAAATGTAGTATTGTGCTAAATACATTGATACATTTTAATCTGAATATCATGAAGAAATAAACCATGTTACCTTCAACGCAACCTGTATTCATTATGTAAGTGTATTCTGCACATATCCTAGGGCTGCGGGAGCCTCAGGCAGCCTCTGTGCCCAGGTACCGCTAATGTGCCACCCAGCGCTCTGTGTTTGTTAATGAACTATGTGGTTTTCAAGTGCTGTTGGTACCAGTAGTACGTCTTCCCAACAAGAGAAAAGTGTTGTGCCTTTGCTGTGCATTTAAAAGCAAATAAAATAGGCTTACGCCCAGCACAAGTAGGGCAACTGGGACGGCTTTGTACAATGCAGGAACTTTGTAATCAGTTATGAGTGGTATCTGTCCTGAATTATTTTTTTTCCCTTAGATGCCTCAAGAATTTTTTAATAGGCTTACACACAAGCTGACTGAAACATGGGGACGATGCTTCAAAACGAATGGAGTAAGTTTTAGTAGCACATCAGTGTGTGAGGAAATTTTACTTCACACTAGGCTTGGTGGACATTTAAATTCCTCACCGTTTTGTGGGGGATATAACCACCTTGAATTTCTTGCACCTTCTATTTCTGTGTGTGTTTTATTTTTGGTTTATTTTTATTTTGTTCTTTTAACTCTAGCCCTCTCCTGTTGGAAAAGGAGGGAATATATTTTTTGAAAAGAGAGCGTTAAAAAAATGCTGAAAAACAGGGACAGGGGATTTCTTTTTTCCTTCCAGTTTATGTTTCTCTGATATACTTTTAATTTCTGTGACAATTAAAATTTAAAAGTCTCTTATTAATACCCATTCCCTGCTCTAAACTGCTAATTTTTCTGATTTTTTTCAATGTTGCTTCTCCTCCCCGAGGACTTGGTCCTTGGCATTTGTCTTGTGCCCTAGGCTTGCTGCAAAGGCCAAATAAGCCTCTTTTCCCCTACTTGCAATCCCTTCGCTGTAAAGTACAGGATAAAAGCCTGCTTGCTTGCACAGTTGGAAGTGGATGATGTCTGTATGATTGCTCCCTCCTAGAAAGGGTATACCTTTGTCATGGGGTGACTGCAAAATGCTACCTTCACTCTCTGTCCTTTTCTATTCCAGCAGCTGTGCGGGGTGGGACAGAGCTGTGACTTCTCCATCCCCGTGGTGCTACTGGTGAGGTGCTTTCCTGACCTGAAGTTAGACAGCGGGCATTTTGGCTGCTCCATTCTCTTTTTAAGTGTCTCCCAAGCACTTCCTTGTGTGAGAGGCTAATGCAGAGCAGGAGAGCCTGGAAACAAGACAGATAAGGAGAAAATCATCCAGTCCTCTCACAGGCAAGCTGTGCAAGCAGGGAGTGGGGATGAGCTTTTGCCAGAGGAAGTGAGGAGCCCGGGGCCGAGGGACTAAGCAGTTTCCTGATTTATGGTGTACCATAGGAATCTTTCACAGAGCTATAAGGATTACTTGGGGTACTGTTGATCCCTTCTTGTTATCACTGTCAAGGCTGAAGAGGTTCCTGGGAGCCACATGTGTTTCTGGAATATGAATCCTGAACACTCAGAAAGTCAAAGGGGCACGAGCCTGCCATGGATATTGCATTTGACAGAAATGCCATGGAATAGCTTGGAGGAATGTGCTCGTAGCAATGGAGTCCAAAAACTAATTACTGACGAGTGCAGAAAGGATGGATCTCAGGGCCCTTCCCCTTTTTTGGGGGAGAGTTTGCATATTTTACAAGATGGAAATAAATAATAACAGCTGCTTAACCAACTGTCTATCATCTCATAGATACAAGAACTGGAAACTCTTGAGAGATGGGCTTTGATGAAAAAATATTTATTCCTTACGGCACAACCATGATTTTTAATTTATTCTTTGCTTTTAAATCTTCCTTTATCTACAAATAACCTCTACTCCCATCAAAATACCCAATATATGCATTTTGGCATATATTTACGTTGGTATATGTTACTATTCCTTTATTTGAGCATGCGTAATATTTAATGAATGAGCTAGGAAAAGAATTCTTTTTAATGACACCTATTTTCCTTCTATTTTCCCTGGGTAATTCAGTGTATCCTATTTAAACAGAACCTATAAATAAACATCTCTCTCCAATAATCACACAGGGTTTTCTACTCCATATTGCTGAAAAGTCTCACATCTGTCCATGTCACAAATGCTGTTGAACTGTATCTTTCTATAGCTATTTTGAAAGGCACAAAATGCCTATCTGAACCTACAAATCTTCTCTGAAAATAGCTGATTGTTAAACAGGATCTTTGTCCTCAGAAATCTGTTTCTGCATATATGTGATATTAGAGCTAGATTTTTAATCCCTAGGTTAAGGTCTGTGCAAATTAACACTTAAAAAATCTGGCTATAGGTCTGTAACCTAGATCTCCAAACTTAATGAAAAAAAATACAAAATTACTTAATTTTGGAAATCCAAAACCTACCCCAAATTTTCAAATGCTACTAATAATTTCTGTATTTGCATTTTCTCAGAAGTATGACAGACTATAGCATGCAAATTGTTATGTTTGAATTCTGTGATATATTCTCATATATGGAAGAAATGTATTCCCTCTTGTCAGAGGGCTGTTTACTGCTAACGTGTAAAGCATATATTTTTGCTATGCTAGTAACTGTAAAAGTTCTCAATATTTTCTATCCATAAAGTCTTCTGACCTTAGAGTCTATGAAGTCAGTTACTAAAAGGTATCTCTGTGTAAAATAAGAAGAAATTAATTGAAGGCAATATCAATGAGACCATCAGAAACCTGTAACAGCTTGAATTCATAAACCTCTTTGTATTGTTCACTTCAATGTTCTGTTGCTCGCTTAATAATGGTAAGAAAACCTGCATCCTGATTAGAAGATCCCATTTTTAATTTCTTTTGGCTTTTCTGATGTCATCTAGATATTGCCTAGAGCCAGACAAAAATAATCCGGGACAATATGAACAACTACACTAATTAAATTGCTAAATTTCTGTTCAATTAACGTTAGATAGGTATTTTGTTTAGATTATACATATGACATTGCAATGCTCATTCGCCTCTGCCTGAAAAAGTCCTGTGTGTCTTTCAGTTTAGTCTGTAGCTAGTGTTATCATAAATCAGTGCATATATTTATATGGAGTCATAGAGTTATCTTAAAGAAACACATGAATTGATCTGAATCTGTTCAAGATATTTGCCTATTTAAAGTAGCCAAAATTGCAGTCTGCTTCTGCGGTCATTGTAGGTAATAGGCCCTTTGGTCTGTCAGATTTTTATCATATATTCTCTCCCAGGACTTCTGGGCAGCTCAGCACAGGCTGGGAAGTTCTCATCAGTCACAGGGAGCAAAGTGCTTTAGCTAGATGGTTAGTCAGGTTGAAAAACTTACAAAGTATTTATCATACAAGCAGGCTTCAAAATCAGTACGTATACATAGTGCTGGAGCACGGTTCTGTTTTGCCATCATGGTTCCACAAGCAATGCTTT